GGCCCAACCTGGGTCTGGGGTTTACCCTTGCAGCAGCAATGGAGAAAGTGATAAAGAAAGAAAACTCTTTGAAGAAAGAAGTTCCTATGTGTACCATGCAATTAGGGCTAATGTGAAAGCATGTCCCCAGAGGAGAAAGGTGAGTCCCAGAGCCTCTTCAAGCATGAATAAACATTTCAAATGGCTGCCTTATTTTTGTAATTTTAGGTAAATACTAATTTAATACTTATAAAAGGAATTGGAGCTCAGTATTCAAACTGACCTGTGTATATACCTCTAGATTTCCAGTTCTAATTCAAATGCTAAATGGTTTTGTTTCCCTGTCCTGATGTTTTCGAGGTCAGCTGGAACCTATCAGTGGAGAGTACGATCTACTGAATACCAGTATCATGCATTCACGCATCTGCTACTTTCGAATTTGGGGAAGTCTTGAAATAGGCCTATTAAATAAGGACAGGAGATTAAAAGCCTTGTTATAAAATGGAGGAGAGAGTTTGGGCAGTGGGAGCAGTTGCATCAGAAACCTATGTAAAGTTTAGGTAGTTACTAAGGAAAAAAACACTAAATTATCCTCCAGAGCAGTTACAGATGAAGGAAGCACAAGGATGCTCACCTACAACATTCAAAGGAAGAGTTTGCTATGTACATTTGAATTATAAAACGCAAAGGAGGCATGGGGTCTGAATGGTGCCCCCCAAAAAAGTCCATCACCCAATCCTCATAATTTGTAAATGTGGCCTTATTTGGAAAAAGTGTCTTTGCAGATAAAATTAAATTAAGGATCTCACGATAAGGTCATCTCGGATTAAATCCAATGGCAATGTCGGTACAGGTGACAGAAGTAAAGAACGCAGAGAAGTCCATGTGAAGAGAGAGGCAGAGACTGGACAGATGCACCTGCAACCCAAGACGTGTCAAGGAATCCCCAAGCCCCCAGAGGCCGGAAAGGCAAGGAGGGATTCTCTTCAAACACCTGGAAGGAGCACGGCCCTGCCAACACCGTGGTTTTGGACTTCTGGCCTTCAACACTAACAGAATACGTTTCTGTTGTTTTAAGCCACCTTGTTTATGGTAATGTGTCACAGTGGCCCTAGGAAATGAATACAGGAGGCATGGCCCCTACATTCAATTATGGGGGAAAGTTCCAAGAAAAATGTCTTTAAATGCTGATTCAAGTCATGACCCCCTTGGGAATCAGGAAGACCCAACACGGGTGGATTTTGTTACTGACTAAAACACGAAGCCCCACAGCTCGGTGACTGAGCTTCCCTCAGCAGCTGTCTGTGTTACAGACGTGGAACTATTGCGTCAAAACTCCCAGGATTTATAGGGAAAAGGGCACGTCTTCCAAAATCCTTTTCCCGTCAACTGAAATGTAAGTAGAGACCTTGAAGCCTGCAAGGACAGAAAGCTGTGATTTGGGGAAAGAGCTGGGCCAGGGGACCAGGGGCCGACGCGTGTCTTAGAGATGTCCTTCCACCCATGAAAAGCCTCGAAGTCATTTGAGAATGTAAAGCCTCCTTCCGGAGGGAAAGGAAACACGGGAGTAAAGAGGGATGTGTTTTTGTTTGCGGGAAAGAAGAGATCGCAATGCTACACACGCTCCACACCCATAGATGGGGTGAGTCAGGGTGGCAGATGCACAGCAAGCTCACAGCCAGTCCCGTGGTCCTGATGCTGCAGTCAGCTTGGCCCACGACAGTGCCCGGGTGGCTGGCGGTGTCACACATCACACTGGAGAGCTGTTCCCAGGAGTTCACACCTTGAAACGCACCTGGCTGGTGCATCCACAAAGGCTATCCTCTTTCTCCAGGGCAGTGGGAAACAGAACCGCAAAGCAGCTGAAAATGGGTTCCCAAAGGCTCAAGTTCACCGACATCTCCATATAAAGTTTTGTTGAATTTGAGGGATATAAAAATCATACAGTTTTTCCCCATGAAAACATGCATCTTTCCCATGACAGTCCAAATCATTCATAACATAACCCCAAGGAGATACACCTGAGCCCAAACCATTCTCATGCTTAGTTTGAGTAAGAATTCAAAGTTAAAAAACAAAAATTATGTCAATATGATTCGTGGTGGGTGGTAAATGATCCTACTTTCTGTGGTTTCTGTAGGGAGAACATTTCCGGGATTTTTGGTTAAAGAACCACTGGCATTATTGAAACCTGGCAGCCCCTTGTACGAATGTTAATGTGTTCCTGCTGGCTTGGTTACAGGCAGGCCTCCTTTCATCCGGAAAGTCAGTTCTCATCAAAAACCCTCCTCCCGCGGGTCCAGGGTGATTGTGCTGTTTTGGCAGCACGCACTCAACCATATTGTACATTTTCAAAAAACTATTGATTTTTCATTTGTCCTTAAGATTCTTCAAAAATAAAAATAAAAAACTATTGATTCCACTACATTTACGTTTAAAATTTCAGCACGCTCTTGCAGATCCCGTGTTAGAGACTTTTTCTTAGAAGGCTTATTTCATGGGTTCAATGCTTTCTCCAAAGGTTTCACACAATGGACGGTTTGTTTTTGATTTTGTCCTCTACAGGATGGAGGCTTTCTTTGCCAAATAAAAAGACAAGCTCTTGAGGAAAAAAGAAAATCAGGTTTCTAGAGAAAACTCAATATGGTCCCCACACACCTAGTTTGAAAGGGAAAGGTCACACATGAAAAGCGTTATTCTAGACAATGTGACTGGTATTTCAACAGATGGGTCAAATTTACACATCCAAATACACATTGTTTCTTTACAAAGCTCCATTTTTATTTCATTACTGGAAAAACCTCTTTGTCATCTGCTTTCAGAAAGGTGTAACAGATTATTTTGAACAGGTAGAAAAATCTTCCAATTTTCCCTGGCACAGTAAAGCCGAGGCAGGAGGATCACCTGAGGTCAGGAGTTCGAGACCAGCCTGGCTAATATAGTGAAACCACATCTCTACTAAAGAAAAAAAAAAATTAGCCAGGCGTGGTGGTGCACATCTGTAATCCCCACTACTCCGGGGGCTGAGGCAGGAGAATCGCTTGAACCCAGGAGGCAGAGGTTGTGGTGAGCCGAGATCATGCCATTGCACTCCAGCCTGGGCAACACTGTGAGACTCCGTCTCAATTAAAAAAAAAAAAAAAAGGAAGAAAAGTCTTCCAGTTTTGAGAATAAATTGGAAGTCTGGGAACAGTCAAAAGTCATTCATGGCAGGGTCTGATAACACAGGAGGGTGATTGAATGGAAAGAATGCTGTCGGCGGCCAAAGGTAAACCTGGCTTGCCTCTGGCAGGTTGCAGCTGCACTAATGACAGCTTTGGAGGGCAGAGGGGTCTTGATGTGGACTCTCCATGCTGATAAGCTCTGTGTTTCCTTATGTGGACTCCTGGGAGGTCACTCAGCACTTGCCACCTCCCCCAAGGTGGAACACAAGGGCCTTCAGGTGCGATGTGGGACTCCAGGTAATTCTCAGGTAATGGCGATTTCTGGCATGAATGCAGCTTTCCTGACCAGCCCTGCTGAAGACGCAGAAGAGACTGGCGATTCAGTTTTCCAGAGGGCTTTTTTGCTTCAAGTATAACAGATTAATTTTTCCCCCAACATGTCTTAATTTGAGTTCCGCCTGAAGCAGATTTCAAGCCAAAGATTTGAGTGCAAGTGGTTTACTCAGGACATGATTCCAGGAAGGCACTGGTCAGGGAGCGGGGAGTGGGATGGGGAACAGGAGGAAAACAAAACAGGGTATGTTGTTGAACAAGCTACACTGTGGACAACTGGTGCTTAATCCCATCGGGCACTCTGGGGGAGCACGAAGACCATGCACCTCAGAGCTACACCCCAAGGCAAGGGAACTTGGGTATTTATCTACCAGTCCTGTGGTTCTGCTGTTAGCTGAAGACTTCTCTAGGATGGTGAACGGGACCCAGACCAAGTGGGCTCTGACTGCAGAGAAATCCCTTTGGGAAGGGGATGCAGCTCCCAGACATTTGTTGTGAGGCTGAAGGACATGAAAGAGTATTGCTAGAGACACATGGCTGGGTGCCTACAGTGTCTGCCACATTCCACAATGGCAAGAGGGTCATGACCACTTCCACCCATCTAGAACCCAAATCCTCAGAAGGTGAGAGCAGCTGTGTTGGATCATAGGGAGTGTCCCCAGGATGTATTAGCAGGAGAAAAAGTGCAAGCCAGTGTGGATTGGGCTTCCACTTGAATAAGGGAAAGGAACACACATGCTTTCTCATGTGCCGCATGCCTTATTTCTGGAAGAATCCACAAGGAACTCTGAGGGGGGCACCAGCGCCCAGGCTGGGAGAGGGGTCACTTTTCACCGTCTGACCTTTGGTGCTCTTGTTAACCTTTTCCTATGTGCATATACTCTTTCTTTAATTAAAACTCTGATGGGCATCACCTGTGTTCAGAGTTGGCTCCAGTGATTCCCCCACTGTTCTTGCTCTGCATTCTCCTCCCAGAGATGGGGTGCCATGACTACCCCAACTTCCGGGCCCATGAAACAAATCTGGGGCATTGGCTGGACAAGAAAGAACCCAGAAAGCCAGTGGACCCTCAGCTTGCAGAAAGCCTGCACCCCACTATGAGAACTGCACATCCAGATGCCAGGAGGCTGGGGGAGGAGGCAGAGCCCTGGTGACCCAGGAGGCTGGGGGAGGAGGCGGAGCCTCAGTGACCCAGGAGGCTGGGGGAGGAGGCGGAGCCTCAGTGACCCAGGAGGCTGGGGGAGTCTCGTGAATAGAGCTGTTGCTCCACAGGAATTCTACAAGCAGAGGTTTGAGATGGGTTTGGAAATGGGGGAATGGAAGTGTGTCTTTAGTTGTCACACACTGGGAGATGCAGGAGACTTCTTGTTCTGTGATGTGCATAACAGTTTGTGCACAGGAGAACCTCCCCTCCCCTAAGGCTGTAGCTCAGGTCCCTCCCCACATCACTCTGGGAACATCGTGGAAGCTTCCAGTCCATTCTAGAAGGGCTGTGGCTCTCCATAAAAGCCATGTGGCCTGCAGCATTGCCAGATCTACTGATCAAGAACCCTCCTTTGGAAGCGAGTCCCTGTCTAGGGCCAGGTCCGTGGAGCACGCTCTGGGAACCGTCCTCCGTCAGCCAATACAGCTCTGTCTTCATAGGGAAGGGTGACAAGGCCTCCTGCTGAGGAAGCCACAGCAGCACCTGGGACAGAAAGGGCCTCGAAAGAATGCTGAGACACCGTGTCGATGTGTCAAAACCAGAAGAGACTGGCGCCTGTAGGTCCACAGGGCCCTGGGTCCTGCATGCATGTAGCCATAGTGTGTCCTGTGTGTTTGCGACACCAGGCCCAGTTCTCAGCATCCCTGCCTTTAACTTCCCGACAATGCCAAAAGTGGACATCAAGCAGGAAAGCCCCGGAGAGCCACGCTCAGGCTGCAGGGCACTGGGAGTGGGAACCACCCGGAGACAAGGGCTTCAGGGGCATTTTCTTCTCCCAGGAATGGCGGCAGAGCAGGGGTAAAGGCTGAGACCTTGGCATCAAACACACCTGGATTCAAGTCCCAACACTACCAATGCCCACTGGGTGACCACGGGCAAGGTGCTGGCACTGTTTCCTATTGGGTAAAATGATATCCTTATAACCCCTGGGATGTGGGAATGTGGAAGAATCAGGAAGGTAATGTGTACAGAGCCAGGGCCTGGCCACAGTTAGCAGTGGACCAAGTGGCTGCTGGCACAATGAGGGCCCAGCTCTCTTGAGGAGGGTCACGGCCATGGCAGCCAGGGCATGGGGCTGAGCTCTGCCTTTCCTTCAGGCAGAAACACTGAAGTTCAGGGGAGTAAGGAGGCTTGTCCACAGCCACACAGAGCAGGGCCAGTGAGAGCCACACCCAGTGCAGGACAGGCATCCCTGTCCTTACCACCACCCACCACCCATCACCTCCTAAGGCACCATGTTGGAGTGGGGAGTGGGGACTGGATGGAAGATCAAGGGAAAAAAATGGTTCTGGAAGCAGGAACAAAACCTGTCCCATCTATACCACCTCCTAATCTCAGAAGCAGGGACAGTAAGAGCATCTGTATTCAGGAAAAGCAAAATAAAACTATGTGGCTGCTCACTCAGAACACACCCCCAGAGCACACACCTGCAGCACACAGGACACACACATGCAAAACACATATATAGAACACAGATCATATACGTGGACACACATGCACCCAGAGAATGCACAGAATACACAGAGAATAAAATACACACAGAACAGACATATGCAACACACACACACACAGGCACACACACACAAAGCACACACATGCACTCCAGAAGAGATCGGTCGGCCACAGTCTCAGCTGGCAGCAAGAGCAGAGGTTGGAGGAATGGCTGAGAGGAGGAGTGGGGGTGGGTGAGGACAGAACAATCGGCATGGTCAGCAGCTGCAAACTCATTTCACTGCTTGGAAGAATAACTCAGCAGCCCAACATCCACAGCGAGGTTCTGGGACCATTGCATGCATTGGTGGGGACACTCTGCCAAATGCCCAAACCTTTATGCCAGAGGAACTAGCTACAGCATAGAAAATGGCCTGCATCTTGGAGGACCTCTGTAACATCACCTGGCTGGAGGTCATCACGCCAACATCAGACATTTCGGCACAGTCCACAAGTTCCACTCCCTAATTTATTCAACCAGCTTTCCCCATGCACTTTAAATGCACCCAACGGAATGCTGGGGACACAAAGACGGAGGAGACACAGGCCTGCCTTGAGAAGCTTTTGCACACATGTGTGTGCTGGGGGATTATCTGGAGATGAGCAGTTCTCATTCTCACTTAATCCTTGCACTTTGGAGGATCCATTCATCTCTCCATGCAATTCAGAAAACCCAGGACTAGGGCACTGATAATACAGCCCAATACATGTACACACTCACAAAACCGGAGCCTCATGAACTTGAAAGGAATCAGGAGGCCCTCTAAGTGGAGACCCACCTATTCCATCTGGGTGTCCCAGCATGGAGCACAGCCCTGGATGCTGAGTGAATAACATGGTTTAGCTGTGTCCCCACCCAAAATCTCATTTTGAATTGTAATCCAAATTGTAATCCCCACATGTTGGGGGAGGGACCTTGTGGGAGGTGATTAGATTGTGGAGGGGGGTCATGGTTCCCTCATGCTGTTCTCGTGATCGTGGGTGAGTTCTCATGAGACCTGATGGCTTCATAAGGAGCTTATCTTCATTTTGCTCTGCACTTCTCTCTCCTGCCGCCACGTGAAGAAGAACATGTTTGTTTCCCCTTCTGCAATGATTGTAAGTTTCCTGAGGCCTCCCCAGCCATTTGGAACTGTGAGTCAATTAAACCTCTTTCTGACCAGGCACGGTGGCTCACGCCTGTAATCCCAGCACTTTGGGAGGCTGAGGTCTGGAGTCAGGAGTTCGAGACCAGCCTGGCCAACATGGTAAAACCCCATCTCTACTAAAAGTACAAAAATTAGCCAGGCGTGGTAGCACTTGCCTGTAATCTCAGCTACTCGGGAGGCTGAGGCAGGAGAATTGCTTGAACCCAGGAGACAGAGGTTGCAGTGAGCCAAAATCACACCACTGTACTCCAGCCTGGGCAACAAGAGTGAGACTCTACCTAAAAAAAAAAAAAAAAAAAAAAAAAGACCTCTTTCTTTTATAAATTACCTAATCTTGAGTATTTCTCCATAGCAGCACAAGAAGAGACTAATACAATGAACAAACTCACTGAATGGGCCAGAGCTGAGCAGTAGCATGGTGGGGAGTATCCACACAGCCCCTTGTGGAGGCTTGAAATGAAGGAAGGAGGAAGGAAATCTATGTATGAAAGGGCTACATGAGTAGTCTTAAATCTCTACTCTTATCACGTAGTCCTTCCTCCTGGGTTCAACTCCACACCTTCCTCGCCAATCTTTCTGCTATGGCTTTGTGACATAGCTGGAGTAGCTTTATTCATTAGCAACCGTGGTAGGCACTGAGATGCACCTGCAGAGCCCAGTTCCTTCAGGAATTGTCTCAGCTGTCTCCCCAAGGCCAGGCCCTCCCTGAGGCACCTGCGTTTGGTGTCTGAGTGAGGCAGGACATACATGAAAGCAGCTTTCACTTCAGGACTTCCAGGCCTGCACCAGGCTGCCTTCTCCCTCTGCCCAGTCCCGTTTCCTCCCCTCCCTCTCAGATGTTGGTCACCAATAAGCATCCACTACCCCGTCTCCACCTCAGCACCACTCTGGAGAACCCAGCCTGAGACAGTGAGACCTGGGCATGGCCCACAGAGGAGGAGCCATGACAGGCCAGGTGCTGGAAGCCCCACAGCCCTGGCAAAAGGTGGGCCGATGGTTAGGAACCTCTCTCCAGCGGTGACGGTGACCATGCGGGATGGGAGGGAAGCCCCAGAGATGCAACGAGGCACTGGGATGTCGAGAAAAGCATCACTGTGGGACAGTGGGAGGGACTAGATATGCTAAGCAACACAGGCGCCCCATGCAACAGCCCGTGGGCCAAATCCTGTCCTAGGCCTGTGTTGTGTGGCCTGAGAGGCATGGGTGGCTTTTACATATTTAAAACATGAAAGAGGAAGAGGAGGAGGAAGACAGGAGGTGCAGGAGAAGAACCTGTAGACAAAAATGGAAGTTCCAGGTCTTGGCAGGGGCAACCAATCCTAATCCTGGGGGAACCAGGTCTCTGTCCACACGGGGTGGGGCAGGAGGAGACTCAGAACCTGGGAGCCTCCCGGGCACCTCACAGAGCTCCTTCAAACAGCTGCTACAGTAATGGACGGATGAGGCGACCCCATCCCGAGGGCCGGTCACGCCGCCACCTGAGCAGTGAAACAAGCGTGGATGCTGGGTGATGGGGAGGGGGAGCCGGTGGACACAAAGAAGGAGACGAAGAGCTTCACTTGGGGCTCGAGGCCACTGCAACAGCGGGGACTGAAGTTCATCCTACTCGTCGTCTTCCTCGAGAAAAGAGTCCCCTGCAATCCTTAGGGAGCTGCTCCCCAAATAGCTAAGGAGGCACCAGTGGTAAAGTGTGGTCCTCATGGAGATGCACCTCCCAGATTCCCCTCCGAGCAGGCATTGCCTCCCCGGCTGCCGGCTGCCATGAGCGAGGTCCTAGCTCCACCAGCACCCACCCAGTTGTAGAGCCACCTCGCCTGCCACACTCTTCTCTGCCAGGGTAGCTCTTTTGGCTTGAGAAAGCCAATTGCTGCCTCTCTTCCCAATTCTGTGTTCAGTCGCTAGAATCTAGCCCTGAAGAGAGTGTTTACGCTTTGGAAACTGACAAATGCTACAAGGCATGGCCTGTGTCCCAGACAGCCGACTGTTAAAGTGACCAGCGTCCCCTGCCTGGAGAAGCCAGCACCCAGACAGCCAACTCTTACACAGTGACCACCAACCCCTGCCAGCACCCAGTGACGAGGCAGGTGGAATGTGAAAGCCCCAGATCAGCCCAAGGGGGCACTTCTGATGGGGCCCCTTGGCCTCAGGGCTCCTGGCCAGGCTGGCACAGGTTGCCACTGGACATCTTTCTCTGCCCCATTCTGCCTCCTTTCCCTTCCTGCATCTTAAGCTCTGTCTTGGCATCAACATCGGGAGAATTCAGCACACACCCTGGTCCGTCCTGGAGCAGACAACCGAACTGACCCCATACTCGCATCATGGCCTGACCGACACAGTACAGAGGGCTAAGGGTTACCGTTTTAACTGTTTTTCCAGTCAATCAGCAAACACATATCAAGTGATTTCTATGGGACAGACACTGCACTAGAAACTACATATAAAAAGATGACTAAGACATAGTCCCTCCCCACTAGTTCAGAATCTGGGGCACGTACAGACACTCAGACAAGTAAGTCCCGCGCTACGTCACCTGTGGGGACCAGGGCAGGGTGCTGCACGAATCGTGCAGTTGGCTTCTGTTAAATTTGCTTTAAATTAATATAGCAATTACCTTTATAATTATATAAAAACAAAAGAAATGACAGCATAAAACATGTTCAAAACATGTTATTGTCATTTTAAAAAATGAGATTTAATATCTTTGACATTAGAAAAATAGATATGTCCTGTTTTTGTTTGAAGTGGATTATAGTTAAAAATGAAAATCAAACTGGGTTGTCAGAATTTGCATAATTTGTTAACAAAACAGAGTGTCAAGCAGTGGACTTAAAAATAGAAACCTCTGTTTCAGGGTTTCCTAAGCCCTGCCTGGGCCAGCCCCTGTAAGAGAAGGATCGGGTGATACAAGAAACGCTCACCCTTGAGAGTGCTTCTCCATTGCAGAGTCCCCACCAGGACTGGCCTCTTTGCAACCAACCCTCACCACCCACACCCTCACAGGGCTGGTTCCATTCTCCCCACTTCACAGCAGAGGAGACGGGGGCTCTAAGAGTTAGGGCACCGGCACCCTGGACAGGTTGTTCCCGCAATTTTCTGTGAACAGGTCTTGGTGCTCACCATGAGGTGGCAGCCACTGACGCTTCCAGATTTAAACAAAATCACT